CTAGGAGGGTGTCTAAATTGCCATCAATGGGATGTGTAAACATCAGGGTCATTCTAGGTGGAAAAATTTTAGTCCAGGAAAGTCACAAGAATGTGTGTGTCCTGAGCTGAGAGAAAGACAGAAGCAGTCACCAGCAGAAGGCATGTGCGTTAAAACATGATATAACTGAATCTTTTCTCTAAAATACAGTGCATCCGTTGTGTGCTCAACCTGTGGCAGAAAAGCCTTTGCAGCCCTCACCCTCACCCTCCACTCCGCCCAAAATCTAGCTCCTACATTAAGAAAGCTTTGCCGAAGAATTCTGAGAGACGCTAATAATGAAATTCCCCTGCTCTGCAATCATGAATTAGTATTTTCTTAGGATGTAGCTGTAGGGAATCATAATGAAAAGCATCAGATTTGGGGTCAGATGGATTAGGTTTGAATCCCAGCCCCACCACTTTCTAGCCATGAGATCTTGGAGCAAACAACCACTTGTCTACTCTGAAACTCAGTTTCCACTTCTATGTAATCTATTCATTTGACAAACATATCCTGAACACCTACCATGTGCCGGAGCTACAGGAGAGGAGACGCGTGGTTCCTGCTTTCACGGAGCTTACATTTCGGGGGAGGGGGAGGGGAGGCCGACAGTGAACCAATGATACATCTGGCCAGGAGGAAAGTTAAGAATAAAGGGGCAGGGTAAGGACACCGAGAGTGAACGGGAAGATGTGAGTGTGCTATTTCCCCTACAGAATTCTAGGAGAGCTTCTCTGAGAAGGTGGCACTTAAGCAGAGACTTAAATGAAAGGAGGGAGGGAGGCTTTGCATGATCCAGAGAGGATAACAGAACCCGAGAGAGTTACTGTTAGGACAGAATGATATAAAGGGTATACAATCCAGCACCTGGCATATAGTAAGCACTCAAAAATGTGGCTATTATTATTATTAATATTAATATTAGCTGTAAGGAATATCCATTAGAAAACCTGAGTTCATTACATCCCCTTCATTTTGGGGAGTTATGGTGTCACAGGTTGGGAGCTCACACCTTCCAGACAGACTCTGTGTAACTCTTTTGTAACTGGTTCAAAAGCACATTTCCACCTGGCCTAGGTTCCCAGGGCTCTGACAGCCAATCCTAACGAGGGAAATAATAACTCCAGGCTCATTCTGCACAGATAAGTATGCTACGTATGATTTCTCACCACCCATCTCCCCTCCCGGGCTGATTAAGTTACACGAACCATGAGTTTCCGTTTGCCAAGAAAGGGCTCTGAGGTCTTCTTAGCTGTGGGTATTGGGAGGTTGGAAAGAAGGGCATGGAGAATCTTGCTAAGTGGAAGTACATAATACCTCAAGGTGAGGTCAGAGGTCAGAGGCATGGAAACTCCGTGTGTGAGTGTGTGGGTGAGAGAGAAAAAGGGAGGGAGGGAGGGGGAGGGAGGGAGAGAGACACATGCATACATCCTGACCTAGAATAATAATGGCACTAATTATTAAGAAAAGCATTTAAAATGCCCAACGTATGTGTCCAAGCTGAAGAGCCACAGCTCTTGATTTTCAATCCCAGCTCTGGAGCAAGCAGTTGACAGACCCTGGGCAAGTCATTTTCCCTCTCTGAGGCAGCATCAGGTTGAAGGGCTCAGGGTCCCATAGATCAAGGTTTGATGCTTAGCAAGATCTTGGGCATCTCACTGAAACTCTGTGAAGCGCATCTGTTCAATGGGTATTTAACAGTGAACTGTACCTCATGAAGTAGCCAATGCAGATACAGTGTGCAGCATGGCGCATGGCATATAGTCAATGCACAGTAAATACTAGATCCCAGCACCTTCACCTGCCTTCCTACCTGGCTGGTCTGAAAATGAATCAGGGAATTAAGTAAGTAAACACTTTGTGATAAAAATGGTATTTTACAGGGCTCCCCTGGTGGCGCAGTGGTTGAGAGTCCACCTGCCGATGCAGGGGATGCGGTCTGGGATGATCCCACATGCCGCGGAGCGGAGCGGCTAAACCCGTGAGCCATGGCCGCTGAGCCTGCGCGTCCGGAGCCTGTGCTCCGCAACGGAAGAGGCCACAGCAGTGAGAGGC